GATGTTGTTTCATCGTTCACTACACTACCCGTGGAAAAAAACCATTGGACGTTTTGTGAATAAATTAAAAGAAAATAAGATTTCAGCTTTAAAAATAATTTATATAATTAACTTTGTTGAAGCATGTGTTATAATTCATGTTTTGAAATTAACAGTAAAGTTTATATACAGAACATAGGTTTAGCTATGGGTCCTCCTTTATCTCCGTTATTGTGTGATGTATGTACGGACGATTTTGGAACTGAAGCGTTAAGAAAAGCGAACCGAAAAGCTGGGTGATACGCTTTTGATATGGCGGCATAGTAAAAATAATCTAATTGATTTTGCTAATTACCATAATAACATTGATCGTTCTATTAAATTTACGTATGATGATATTGAGGTAGATAACTGTTGTTGTTTTTTTATGTTTTAGGAAGTAAAAATAAGAGAAAATTGGAAAGTACTATTTACTGAAAACCGTTCTCGGTAATCACGTCACAACAATTCTCCAAAAATATTGATTTTATTCTTATGTGAATATAATTTTAAAATTATGTTGTAAACAGGAAGATATTAATAATTGGTTATTATTAATCAAGTACGAAGTAGCGGGAAGAAGTTTTAACCCTGATAGCGTTGATAGAGGTGTCAAGAAAATTAAAACGGGGGATAAAAATATCACGTTAAGACTATTTGTTGAAAAAATTAACACAGAAAGTACTGCCATTTATATCTGGTTTAACTTGTTATATAATACAGTACTTTTAAAACAACATCAAAATATTATTTTCCGATATAAAGTTTGTTTTGAATTTCGCGCAAAGGTACACGAGGGTTATCTGCGCTAGCCGTCCCTAATTTATCAGTGAGGGAAGGCATCACCACCCACCGCTAACTCTTGGCTACTCTTTTACCAATGACTAGTGAGATTGACCGTCACATTATAACGCCCCAACGACTGAAAGGGTGAGCATGTTTGATGGAATAGGGAGGGATTCGATCCCGCTACCTTCAGATTGCGAGTCGAGCGCCCTAACCACCTGGCTATGCCAGGCCTCCGATATAAAGATCAATGAACAAGATTTGTACCACTTCTTTTCCGGAACGACCTTAATCCCAACTATTTCAGGGTCGCCCGGTAATTTTTTAAGCCAAGAATTTTTATACCCAGGTGGCCGGCCCAGACGGCAACTATATAAGAGAGCATGTTCGGCGACTGGTATTTGAGCTCGCGACCCTCAGAGTGCGAGTAGAGTGCCCTAACCAACAGGCCCAGATTTCTGTTCCTCAGTGGGATGTTTAAACTTTCTAAGGGGTTAAGACACAAATAGCGAATATATAGAGGCATCGCTAGGTGCTTGAAATATTCAGGGTGGGGCCCATAGACGCAGGTATTTTCAGCATTTCAGCATGATATCAATCATGGATTTATATTCTAATTTTTTCAAAACACTAACTGGAGATTCGGGGAACAAGCCCCGTGTGCCAGCGCCCAGCGACGTCTCTGCTAACATAAGAGCAAAATTACTTTACTTCCCAAATGAAAGTGAAACATAATCTAACCTATATAAAACCAAGTCTGTGTCACGTCATGCTTGGTTTCTCGAAATAGGAGGAGTCATAAAAGCCAAAATGCATTTATTCAGATAGAATGGTTCGAGTACTATCTGCCTATTACATTTTAGGGACGGGGTGCAAGAGGGCCGCGAGAGATGGTTGTGCCGTGAAATATTGTTACGTCTCCGTTCGTTAGTTAATTTTACGTAAATTCGTTCCGACGACACTTGAGCGACACAAGTCCTTTCTTAAATAAAACTGGTTTATTCTTTCCGAGTACAACTTTACGATACACTTAATTACAACAGTCGCTCTATAACAAACGCTATAATTCTCAACGAACGTCTCACGTGCTCAACAATATTCAGTTCAATTACACACACGTTGTTGCCGTCACTTTGTGACCGTCTTATATATACAAGACTACCCCCAATCGAGTAGTCTCCCGACAATTCATGAAGGTTCGAGAAGGACGTGGCGTGATACTAGTCACGTGACCTCGCTGACGCAACAATATTTTAAGTATAGTGAGTGTTGGTATAACAAGCCTAAAGTAAAGACATAGTGTGGGATCAACTAGCCTAGAGCCAAGTAAAGTAAAAACATCGATTCAATTTTATACTTAAATCATTTCTGAATTAAGCTATTTTCTATCATATCACTAACGTATTCAATAAAAAAAACCTCTTTAATCAAAAGAGACTCTAAATTAAGATATCAACGAATATTTGTCCAGTTTTGTTGTCTATACATTTCATTTTATACTTTCAGTATATAGACTAACAACAATGTTAGGTTACTAGCTGGAGTACTCGTCCCCTGGATGGAAGTTATGTAAATTCATGATTAATGAAAGATTAATTTAAGACATTAAAAGTTGCTGAGTGTTGTTTTTAAATTACTGAATTATAGTGTTGTATGACTGTTGTTTTTAAATTACCGAATTATGGTGTTATATGACTGTTGTTTTTAAATTACCGAATTATAGTGTTCTATGACTGTTGTTTTTAAATTACCGAATTATAGTGTTCTATGACTGTTGTTTTTAAATTACCGAATTATAGTGTTATATGAGTGTTGTTTTTAAATTACCGAATTATAGTGTTCTATGACTGTTGTTTTTAAATTACCGAATTATAGTGTTATATCAGTGTTGTTTTAAATTACCGAATTATAGTGTTGTATGACTGTTGTTTTTATGACTTGTTTTTAAATTACAGAATTATAGTGTTATATGAGTGTTGTTTTTAAATTACTGAATTATAGTGTTGTATGACTGTTGTTTTAAATTACCGAATTATAGTGTTGTATGAGTGTTATTTTTAAATTACTGAATTATAGTGTAATATGACTGTTGTTTAGCGATAACTCTGAATATTTTCACACATCGTGATTAGTACCAGTACATTCATAAAAGTCTTCGAACTTATATAAACAAATCAACCAACTTTTTCCTTTTAACGCAGACTTGTTGGTATTATTGTAGCTCAAAACTTAAACCATTTTCTAGGATGTTGAAACTAAAGAAAGTAGGTGTGGACTAAAATTTTCATTGACCAACAGAATCTTGTTACAAATATATGTGTAATAAACCGCCTAAACAGTTACATTATTGTGCTTATTATAACATTAGTATCCACGCCCAAGTTCGGAGATTTCACCAGACAGATGTAAGATGTTTTGTTTTTAGGGGCATTTATTTCTTGAAAATCACCATGAGAGGTCAAAAACTTGGTGTAAAGTTCATTCTTCATCTGGAAAATAAAGTTTCAAGACAAGACGGAATTCTTATTGTGCCAGAAAAACAAACAAACCGCTTTGTAAGAGCATGTGTTTTGGGTGACGTCATGGATTCTCAAGAAGGACAGGGCGGAACATATAACGCATCAACCCGCTATTAGCGCTTAAAATAATTTGCTTTCTCGCGTGGATCGGCGAGAAAAACCATCAATTGGACCACGTGACCATTAAGAGAAATATTGTTGTACTACAGCTTTATCCCTTAGAATATAGTTTTGTGAAGCTTAACGAGTCTTAGTAAGTTTTGTTCTACAAAGAAGTAGGTTAATCAAGGTTGATTCATTAAATGATGATTAATATAACTGGTAAGTAAGAAAATTAAATGTTGATAGAAAATACTAAGAATTAATTTGTTAACTTTTGTAAATACTGTTATTTTGAAGGCAGTAAAGTTGTCGAAGTCTGCTCGACGAAACGACTTGTAATCGCGGTAATTAGTGAACTTAATATAATATTATACATATGTAGAAAAATGCGAAGGTAATAAGATAAAATAAATTAGAATTTTAGAGAAAAAAATCACCTTTAAAAACTATGTTAATAATTTATTAACTTGGCGACGTTTCGAGCAAACGCTCTTTTTAAAGCCAGAAAGAAGAAATACGACGAAGCTTTTGCCCAAAAATACCTTTCTTTAGTTCAACGTCATCGTAGTTTTATGACCCAGCAGTTTTGAATCTGTGTAAAACAATGTTTTTTGTGTGTGTGAACGGGTATTCTAAACATTGTAAAACGATACTTGATAAATCTTGATATATGAGCTGAATCAATAATGTTGCGTCAGCGAGATCACGTGACTATTGTCACGCCA